ACTCAATGAACATGAGTTTGAGTAAACTCCAGCAGATAGTGAAGGACAGGGAAGCCTGGCATGCTACAGTCCATGGGGTTGCAAAGAGTCAGACACGACTTAGTTGCTGAACAACAAAAATAAAAATGCACTTATAATACATAGCTCTTTTTTTCATTGTTTTTACTAGTTTTCCTAGATAAGGACTACATTTTACTTCCATTGTTACTTTCTTCAGTGCCCCAAATAAGGCTTAGGGTGGCAGTATTAGAAACTCAATATAAATACATATACAAATGTGTGTGTGTGTGTGTGTGTGTGTGTGTGTTCATAAGACAGCAGATTTAATTAGTAACATGGTGGATAACACCCAATTAGAAACATGGAATTTCAGGAACACTTCATTTGCTCAGATTTTTCTAGTTGACTTTGACAGAACAGAGATAAATGAAACACCACACTGTGAACCATGTCAATTAAACGTCCACAAGAGCACAGAAATAACACAGCTTCCAGATGACTTTTTCCCGAACTTGACAAGCAATCCATCTCTTGGAAGTAATAGGTGTATGAAATTCCTTAGGCTCCTTAGGGAGGCTGGGTGATTTTCAGTCTGTGTGGATAGTATCCATGCTTTCTGGCTTGTGAGTCATTGGCATTAAAGAGGTTTAACCACCAAGGAACACCCCGCGACTTGTGTGATGATCTTCTAAAGCGTAAGGAAACTGGCTTAACGTCAGAGGAGTGCTCACACAGAGCGCTCTGGGAAAAAAGACTTTAGCATTTCCAAATGCATTTCAGAAAATTATCTTGCAAGTTGACTCTATAGCTTTCAAGTTACATAAGTAAACAAATGAGTCACAGACACAGGGTGTGATGTTTGAGAACAGTGTGCTTACCCTTTTACAATGCAAATGGGGAAAGAGGAGCTGATGGAGGTTAAGTGGAAAAAGAGACGTGATAGATATATTATAAATAGAACCCCAGAATTTATGGTAAAGCTATTTGGAGAAAATGGAACAGCCTGGACAGTTCTATTTTGGCTCAAAGACAGTCATCGTAACTTTAAGGATCCCAGGAGCCCTTCGTTCATTTATTTTTACTGTTGGCAGAAGTGAAACCTTGAAAGAAATGAATTTAACAATGGATTAAATTGCTTAATTTGGCCTTCTTGAATAAAATTTCTAGAACTACCGATTCCTTTAGCCGTATCTGTAGGGACCACTCAATGTCCTCACTGTTGGGCTTCATGAGGTTTCTGACCTGGTTTGAGATGCTGCAGAAATAGAACACATCTACCAATTCCTGCAGAAACACCATTCCCTGGCTGATTGCATTGAGGTGTTCTTTGCCTCCTCATTGTCATCCTTTATAAATCCAAATATCTTTGATCCACTTGATTTTACCAGGTCCTTTGTTTCTATAGGTTTGAAATAAAGCTGTTAGTATATTGTAAGCTAATAGGTAAAGACCTTTTAATGCAATCATTTCCTCTTTTCTCTGTAAAGTGGATCTCTTGTATCTTGTATTAACCACGTCAAGTCTGCTATCACCCCATAATTTACGTCTCACTTCCCAAAGTATTGATTTGTTAGAAAACCAATTCCAACAGATTTAACAGAAATACAGCTAAGAATTGTAGGGGATTTGCAGGAGATCTCACCGCAACAAAGACAGATGTACAGTCACTGATAATTACGGGCAGGGTTTAAGCAGCACTGGTTCTTGAAGGTTATTAACAGGCATAGAGGGACAATGTGTCCTCCCCAATAGCGTTTCTTTCAGGACTGCTTCAGACTGGAAAGTAGGGCACACACGTTAAAAGGTTGTAGTGCTTTTCCATTACCGCTGTAACAAATGAACGCAGACTTGATGCCTGAAACCAAGACAAATGTATTACCTTATGGTTCTGCAGGTTACAGGTCTTACACAGCTTTTGCTGGAGTGAAATCGAAGTGTCAAGGGCTGTGTCCCTCCTGGAGGCTCTCGGGGAGGATGCACTTGCTCGCCTTTTCCACCCTCTAGGGGGTCACCCTCCTGCCTTGGTCCAGGACCCTTTCCTTATCAATCACCACCCGTGGTGTTCTCACATGCCTGGCTCTGACATAGTTTCACAGACGCAGCTCTCTTGACTCACTCATTCTGTCCCCATCTTCCACATTTACAGATCTTCCTGATGACATTGGGCCACCACATCACCCGGGGTAACCTGTGACACCATCACATCGTCGGGGTGCCCCTTTCCCATGTAAGGTGACAGTCCCGGGTTGTGGAGGTTAACATGCGGGCACTTGGGAGCTATGACCAAAAAGGTATTCAGTTTCAATTCTTCTAGAACTCTGATTGTCCGGGACCTTAGTAAATCTACAGCATCATCTGCTGGCTTGCGTATTAATCAACTTTCTTTAAATTAGCTTGTAATGAAGGAATCACTGACTTTGTACTATGATCTTTGTGTTAAATGGAAGCTCTAAGCTGAGCCCCCGCCCTTGGGAAGGTAAGGGAACTACCTACAGTTTCAAGGATAGGTCTTGTATGGAACCACCACCTGCCCCTACAGTCCCCTCCCCATAAAAAGTATGTGAGTATTTGTCGAAATCACACGGCTGAGTCAAGAAATTCATGCACGTTAATTCACCCTGGAGTATGATTCACTTGCATGGTTTGGCTCCAACCACAGAGAACAAATGATATAATTGTTACTAAACCCTCACCTTTGATTCTGCATAAAAGAAATCTGCACAGAATTTATGCATTTTTGAATGCATACACTGGTTTGATATATATCATGTAACTAACTTCCTGCTTCATATTTTACAAACTGCCTCATACATAATAAAGCAGGAATCAACAAACTATGGCCCATGGGTCAAACCTGGCCCATAAGCTAAGAATGATTGTTACATTGTTAAGTGGCTAAAAAAACAAAACAAAACAAAAAACCGAGTAATATTTTCTTTACAGAAAAATCACATGAAACTTAAATGTCGTGTCTGTAAGTAAGGTGGTTGGGACAGGGGGGCAGCTTGTGTTCTTCAAGGGCAGAGGTGAACAGTTGTAACAAAGGCATCGTAACTCATAAACCCTAAAATATTTCTGCCTGACCCTTTCTTGTCGAAGTTTGTCCATTAACTCAAAACTGACATTTCTGTGGGTAAATATTTGCAAGATATGGGGGTGACAAGGGGTTTGTTTATGGTATTGTTAATGTTGACATGCAACTAATGGGTAATTCAACCTAGCTTTTGAGATCAGAATTCCACTCAAAGAGAATCTAATTAAGGATAAGCAATATTTTCAAAGCAACAGCACAACAAATGTGGATTTCAGTTATAAAAATTTCAGTGAGTAGGAGTAGGTGAGTGGGATGGATGTGGGTTTCTGAATCCAGAGTTCACTTCTCTCCTAAGCATTGTCACTAATAAGTAAAGAGGTAGGTAACCTGTTTCAAAGAGAATTTGCCATGTAGTCTGACCAGGAAAAAAAAAGTGAGGGAGCGCGCCTTCAAACAAAATATCCCAATGATTAAATGTCTCCTGGAATGGGTCATATCCAGCATCACTAGTCAGTACCACACAAATCCTAGCAAAGAGGCAGATCTGAGTAGTGAATTACCTCTTACAGGAGATTATTTCAAATAGCGACATAAACACTGTTGCAATTGGTTCCAGTCAAGGTTTGGCTTTTCACTTTGAATGGATGCTGTGCGTTTTTAAGTCTGAGAGTTGAAATAGAGTACCCTGACATCAAAAAGCTCGCCTGCATATTTCACTGGACGCAGCTGTTTCTCAAGGTAGCAGATCTAGCAGGGATATGCTCTACATGGCCAGCCCCAAATTCTGGGAATAGAGTACGTTTCCAGCTCAACCGGGCAGCAGTGGGCGCTCCAACCCCAACGGGCCCTGCCGGCTCCAGCTGCAAGACAGTTTGTTCACCCCTGACATATCATCTGCATGAATAAGCATCACTTTGAAATTAGATTTGCTGCTGAAATGCAAAGTAACTATATGGCGCATAGCTCCATGCAAGTAACATCAAAATGCTTTGGGAACATTTCCATGGCATCTGTATTGTCTCTTTAAAAACTTTGACATAGGTCTTTTCAAGTCCAGTTTACAGACTGGAAAACTGAGGTTCAGAAAGGATAACCCAAGGATATACTGTCTCAGTTAGTACAAGTGGAGGCAACACACATTCATCCATCCATCTGAAGCATCCACTCCAGTCGTGGTCAGGCCTCTGGCCAGAATGGAACGTGTCACGCCATTTCTAATGATCAAGAGCGCCTCTGCCTGAAACGTCATTTACTCCATAATGACATGAAGTTGTCAACAGTTGGAAGTAAATGACTCGTTTTTTCTGACAGCCAGAGTCCACCTTGGAAGTGGACTGGCTGTTTTAAACAGCTTAGCCAGAGATTGAACCTGTCTCACTTTTGAAACATTTAATTTTGTTTAATATACTAATTGACACACACACACATGAGGCATTTTGAATCTCTTTGACAGTTCTTGTCACTAAGCTCATCAACACCCCTCTTCTCCACTTCAGAAGGCAGGGCCCAGGTTGTGAGTCTGCAGATGGACCCTGGAGACACTGGATGTTATGAGTTGTTTGAGTCACTTCAGGTGAAACAGAATTACCAAGTGATCAAACACTGAAGGGCAGAATTGTATCATTTGCGTATTCCTATTCCTTTGGTAATTCATTATGATCCTGGTCCTAATAAGAAGAAATAAGAGCTCAAAGGAATATCGGCTCACTTAGCCATCCTTAATGAAGAAGAATCAAAATGTTCAATACTTGTGAAAGCCTTCATTCCATCAAGGATGAATGTGGCGTTTGTCTGCAGCCAGAGGTGAAATAACCTGCAGTGCTTCAAGGTGAAATGCAGCTAACAAATATGTCTGTTTTAGGTAACTCAGCATGCAGACAGTCAGTGCTCACTTGTGAAGGCGGGTTTGAGATGGGCCATTTGTGAAGCTGGTTTATAAGGGAGCTGTTTTCATTCTCTCTTCCAGGCTAACCGGTATGAACCTTCCTTCTCCTGTCATCAGTAGCAAGAACTGGTTGCGACTCCATTTCACATCCGACAGTAACCACCGACGGAAAGGATTTAATGCTCAGTTTCAAGGTAAGAAGGCTTCATCTTATATGACAAAAAATAGCAGAAGATACTCTGGTCCTCTGGCAACCCTGAAATTTCAGAACTCTCTTGCTGAAGATGAAACAAGAGTTGTAAACTTGAATGAAAATGGCTTCTATCTCTCATATGAACCGTTAACTTTGGAACAATTAGCAACTTCTCAGTAAAGTTTTACTGTGGTGACAGTACGCTCTATATTTTATTGTTTTGCTGGAATTATTGCTAAGTTTTAACTGGTAAGTCAGTGAACATGTAATAGCACTCATTTCAATCGCTATGCACCCACCTAGTAAATAACAGTTTCTGATTATTTTCTTTATTTGCTTACTAAGAAGGATGTAGCATATGGGTTGCATGAAAGTGCATAAATGCATCATCTTATCACTTTTAGTCCTAAGATGTATTCACATTCCACAAATGCAACCACCTAATGATTAGTGATTTACACACAGCTGTCCTGTGTTTTGCTTAGTAGTTTAGTTGTGTCCAACTCTTTGCGACCCATGTACCATAACCCACCAGGCTCCTCTGTCCATGGGGATTCTCCAGGCAAGAATACTGGAGTGGGTTGCCATGCCCTCCTCCAGGGGATCTTCCCCACCCAGGGATCGAACCCAGGTCTCCTGCATTGCAGGTGGATCCTTCACTGTCTGAGCCAGCAGGAAAGCCTAAGAATACTGGAGTGGGTAGCCTCTCCATTCTCCAGGGGATCTTCCCAACCCAGGAATTGAACCGGGGTCTCCTGCATTGCCGGTGGATTCTTTACCAGCTGAGCTACCAGGGAAGCCCAGGGGAGTGCAAAACAAAAACACCAAATTGTTTGTAGTTGGGTGAAACAGAGAGCTTGCCATCGATAGTATATTGGGTTGATTTTGAATCTTTTTGCATCTAATTCTAGATACAAAAAAAAAAAAAATCTCAACTGGATAGCATTTTATCATTTCCTGCATGTTTCCCATAGTCAATAATTGTTATCAATACTATGAAAAAGGCAATAGAAACTGTTACACATGCATCTGAAAATAAAGCAAAATAGGATGGCTCTGTCAGAAAGCTCGATGCTTTCTCAAGCAAACTTCTCCAGCTTTCCCCAAACTGTAGCCAATTCAATGAAGGCAGAATTCCCTGAACACTTGGCATATGTAAGCTGGGACCCTAAAATGAGGAAATGATAACACCCCCCATGCGCCAGTGTTGGTCCTTTAATGGGCCAGAACCTGGTGGTCTGGAGTCGGCGATAAGAAAGTAAGAGAGAGAAAGAGGCTGATAGCGCTTGTCGGTCTTTTAAGGGACCGGAACCTAGTGGTTCCGAGAGTAAGAGAGAGAAAGAGGCTGATATCCCCTGGTTTACGCGGAAACCCATAGAGCCCCGTTCCTAGGGCTCGCGCTGCTGCGCGGAGGCACCGGGCACCTCTCGAGTGGGTGAGGCACAGGCGCCTTCTCGAGAGGGTCTCAGAAGCCCGGGCAAGAAAGTGAGCTCAGCGGGCCTCCGCGCTCCAAGGAATTAGCCAGAAAGAGAGAGGGAGAGAGAGAGAAGGAATAGAAAGAAAGAAAGAAAGAAAGAAAGACACGGGGACCAAATCTCTGATGGAGCAAAGGTGTTTTAATCAACATGGCGTGGGCACATATACTGTAGTTATTCTCAGGAGAGATAAAGATTAAAATTTCAGACTTACAAAACATAAGATGATCCCTATCAAAGACAGAGTTGCGAACAATCACCTTTTACTGTATGGCTCATAAAAAGGAAGAAGTGCTTATCACCATAATGAGAAATGCCTGGATTCCTCAGCCCCGGAAAGGCGTGCCTCTCCTCTCAATTCCTGAATATTCAAGAATGAGTAAGGGCCAGAGGGTTCCTGACAGATCCAAAACGGCACACAGGAATCCTCTTGTTAAATGCTTCCTGACACTCCAGAAACTCGCAAATCACAAAGACAGTGTGCAAACAACTCTGTCTATGGAGGATAGAACATAAAGTCATAGATGCCACTGAGGAAGGTTTTAGTAATGTTCCAACTGGTGAGTCTGAATGCCACCTATCTGAAACACATTTATTTTCTTTTTATAAATTTGATTGGAGTATATAGTTGATTCACAATGTCGTGTTCAGTTTGAAACACATTTTGAAATCCATAATGCCCTTATTGTGTCCTTTTGGGCAAGAAGTAAAAAAAAAAAAACTAAGAGTGATTTTTCAGGGATTTAAATACAGATGATGCTGAGGAGGATGCATGTAGTAGATTTTACCTGCCACTGGTCCACAGGCACATGGACCCTCACAGAACGCGCCTGATTTGGAGGCCAGGGACAATTTTGTTTCTCCTAAATTCATTTTATCTACAAGGAGCATCATGCATCTCTCAGTTTCTTCTGATGCTGCCAGAAAGTTCTTAGATTGCAAATATACTGCCTTGAACTTGAGGAGAGTCACACCAATTTGTTTTCACTAATCCCAGGACCCAGGCCAGGCCGATATCTTTCTTCTCAGACCTGCCTTTATGTTCCTTGATCTTCCAAGGCCATGTATTCTAACTGCAGTTATAGGAGAACAGGTCTGGAAAGCACAGAGCAATGGGAGTTGGGGTCTCATGGGGATGTAATGGGGGAAGCTGAGGAATACCCCACTCAGTCTTGGAGGAAATTCTGAGTTTTCTCCATATTATTTCCCATCAACAGATACATCTGTCTCTGATTTAAGACCCTCATAGAGCACTATTTACAATCACAATTGACTGATCAGTTGGTACATTATAGAGTTGTTGTTAAACTGGTGACTGATCTTCTCCAAAAGTCCTACTTAGTTGATGCATATGGGAATACAGAAACATTTCCAGGTGTCATCCTCTCAACCTGATCATTGAATCTGGCACCTGGACCAGTGACTGAAAGATGAAAAATAGAATGTCAAGTTTGAAGATGCTCCAAATCAAATTGGTAGATACAAGAAGCAATTGCAATGTTGCAACACCGCATATCAGCCACTGATTTTATATGTGTATTATGTATAATATATTCATATGTATTTGTATATGTATAAAAGTGATGATTAAAAAAATTAGCACCTAAGCGGCCAGGCTCCTCTGTCCATGGGATTCTCCAGCAAGAATACTGAAGTGGGTTGCCATGCCCTTCTCCAGGGGATCTTTCTGACCCAGGGATCAAACACACATCTGTTATGTCTCCTGCATTGGCAGGCAGGTTCTTTACCACTAGTGCCACCTGGGAGGCCCATATTAAAATATATTTGTATATATATAAAAGTGATGATTAGAAAAATTTGCGCAGAAGACCAAAGAGATGAAAAGACGTGAGAATACAAGGAGGGGTAAAGTGGCTCAGCAGTGATGTGTAAAAAGACCTCTTCAGGCTGACGCTGGAGCTCACGTCCAGGACCAAAGGTGGCAGGGGCTGCCCCTTCTTCACCGGCCTCAGGCCTTATATCACAGGAAGGGTCATGACATCACGGCTAGGCCGGATCTCAGCTGACCGTCCATGGACAGTCAGATTCAGCCCTGGATGTCATCCTTTTGAAACCAAAGGATACAAAACAGAGAGGATCAGGGTGATAGTAAGAAATGTCCTAAAACGGGAACTGAGGACGCTGAGAAGGAGCCTGGTCCACACCAGGCAGGAAGGCATCACGTGCGTTTTTTGGCTCCTGGGGGCAGAACTGTCACCCGTGAACAGAAGCCACAGGTGGACCTTCCTGGCAACCCCAGAACAAGCCCGCAGGCAGCAGAAGGCAGGACGCAGAGCACCGGCCTGGGCGGGCCTCTGGCAGCCCCTGGCCGCCCCGCTGACATCCCCACTGGACACAGGGCTGCCTGGACGTTGCAGGGAGGCCTCAGTATTTTCACTCTGAGGACAGATACTTCCTGTCTTGTAGGAAGGTAGCTGTTCTTGTAAATTTTCTTTTTTCTTTTCTACCTAGATTGAACATCAGGAAGCCCCAATTTATATTGTACTATATTTCAACTAAACAAATTCAAGGGGGAAAAAAAAAAAACAAAAAAACGCTGTTGTTATTACCCCCACACTTGCTAAGAAGAAAACAAAGTAGAAGAGCGATCTAGAAAACCAGCAAGAACAATAATAATAGTGAAAACACGGTGTCTAGTGAAAGCTACTTTAATATCAACGTAAATATTCTCTCAAAGAATCTGAATCTCGGGGTATTTGGTGGATAAGGGGAACATTAGAAAACACATTTCTGTGCTCACTGCCTTCAATGTTATTGTAGTCACATTTATCATTCGCAGTCACTCTTATAACTGTAAAATTTCCATCAGTGTTACTCAGATTGAATGAGACAGCAGATTGTGTGAGATTGCTGTGAAAACTCTTTGTGTTCCTAAGTTGCCAACGCAGCCCCCTGCTGGCGTCTCTGCCACAGAATCTGCCCCTCTGACGGGAGAATGAAGCCTGCAGAGATTTTTACAACTTCTAAAAACAAAGAGTCCATTCCTTTTAACTTGGGGCTTTTCTTGGTCAGATAAACAGCCATCCAGCAGTGTAGCATGGTTTTTCTTGTCTTCCTTTATGTTTCTACCTTTCACCCCTGTGTCCTTTCTTCTCTGAACCTTGCACTTTATTCTTTGGCTTTTCTCTTTTCGATCATGCCATCAAGTTATGCCAGAAGTAGAAGTAAGGTTGATTGACAGGTAAAACCACTCTGCAGCTGCTAAATATATTCACCTTTAAAATAGCATTATGAGCAAAAAAACGTGGCAAATGCAATAAAAGCCACTTGATAGATTTGCAATATCATGTGTCTCTTATGGGCCCTCACAGAATGACAGATTTATGTAGGACATGCTATTCTTTAAATCAACTGAAAATTGAGCCCATTCTTTATATGTTGCCTCCATCATTAATTATAATTAAATAATTGCCTTGTTAGCACAATCCATCATGTAGACATTTCTGATGTCTATAAGATGAATTTTTTTAAAAGATATATTAACCTTGAACCATGAGTACCTCTC